GGTTTAGGCATTTCGTTCTACCAGTGACATTTCGCAGAGCGAGAGCACTCCTTGGAGGAGGAATCCGACTTATCCAAGTTGGCCCTATAGTGGGCGCGTGTAAAGCCAGATGTAGCGGAATTGCAAGGCAGGAGAGGCAGCAGGGCCAGAATGGAGGTAAGTACCCATGTGTGTGAAACCAGCCTGGAGTAACTATTGCAATGACTGAGATTTGCCCAAAGTATGGCTCACCCAGGGACAAGGAGTCACAAGCACAGGCTCATCTTAGCAGCACTAGAATGCTTACAGAGCGCTCAACCCAAAAACCAGTGTGATAGGGTAAACCCAACCTGGTATATGACCTCCCTTTCGGCGCAATGCACCAGCCTGACCTGGTTCCCCAGATACAGCAGCTTCAGATAGTAATTCTATCATAAATGTAGAGTCTGGTCCACGATCCCAGCTGCAACAGAACAGAAAATTGCGGCCAGGGAACTTATGAGAAGCAAGATGGCCATTGCTATCCCTTTAACAAGATTTGCAAAGTCGCAATTTGGCCTGGGCCAAGTGAGCGAACGTTTGATGCGGCAAATGGGGGCAGAGAAAAAGATGGCATATGACAAGCACAAAGGAAGTCAGCTGACGCTGGATGAAAGCACGTTCAGTGTGGCGAATGCTGAAGAAGGAAGCGGCAAACGCGGGGAAGATGCAGCCCTGGGGTATTGAAGCCCAGGCCTTGAACCCACCAGGACACTGCAGCGGCTGCCGAAGGGGGGAAATCACAAACCAAAAGTATTAGGACAAGCACAACTATCCCTATAAACACCCCCCAAGAGAGCGCAACAGATGCACCCGAAAATACAGACACAGAAAAGAGTTCCAGAACAGTAATAAAGGGAGAGTGGAAACAGGGACAAAACAGCAGGGCCCGAAACACTACCCCCCTCTCCCCCAAACAAGAAATGACAGGTGAACAGCAGAACAAAACGGCAAACACAGTAAATAAGTAGAGAGAGGTAACCCACAACTCTGACCTCATCCTTGTGAATGAGGAGATTTTTGGGGTCACTCTGCCTCTCATACCCAGTACTTGTTCATGGTTGGTTCTTTGTTTTGCTGCTACGGAGTGAGAAAAGAAAGATAATGTAAAATATGACGCCTCCTATCATGCTGTAAAATTATACACCAGGGGTCGCTGGCTTTTCATTACACTGTGTAAAAGTAGCACATTGAAGTCCCTCGGGGTAGCGACCGTGTATTTATAAAGCAATGTTTAAGCGCGTGCGGAATTCGGTATTTGTTGTGTGTGGGTGTGGTTACTGCTTTGTGAGGTTGTTTATCAGGATTATTCACTAAGGTGAGAATTCAAAGTGAATTTCAGATTTTAGGTCAAGATAGCCGATCTGGAAATATTCTCTAAATTAGCAGTTTGACTTCTTTGGTCTTTAATTCGACATTCACTTTGAATTCGTACTTTAGTAAGTATTCCTGTATGTGTGGGTTCGCAGTAGTGCTATGTGCATAGTAATTGTGGGGCTGTTTGCTGGAGTGTTGTGGGGGGATTTTTTTTTAGTTTTTATGTAGTCATTTTATGCTACTTCTCTCCTACCTACCATTGCCAGGGAGGAGGGGGACGATCCGTGCTGTGCCCTGTGCTTTTTATGGGTGCAGACCACTCGTTCTTGCTCCAGTCTGATCATGTTCTAGTGATATTAGACATCGTAGCTCTTGGCATGGTCCTGAATTACTGAGAAGAGTTCTCTGTGGTGTGACTGCACTCAGTCGCGGTGCAGACCACATGCTCCCTTGCACTTTCAGAGATCCCCTTCAGGCCAGCGAGAAGATCCTCTGATCTTCCCATCTTGCATGCCATAGATTGCTGATCCCTGCTCTAGAAATACATAAATGTCACATTAATATATACATATACAAATTAAGCCTTTGGAGTCTTCAAGTTTCTCCCTTAAACAGGAAAAACACCATAGCCACTACAGCTCAGTGTATAATGGCAACTCATTCTATTTCAGCTGAATGAATCATTACCCCTCAGTGAAGTGGTTATGGTGCAAAGAGCAGGTGGGGGGGTGTCCCACTTGTTTTGCCAAACTGTTTGGGGGATTTTTTACAATAAGCCAGACTCTTCCAATATCCGAGCCACCGCTGCTTTTAGCTCTACTACATGTTATCAATTCCATCCAACCTGGACAGCAATGCGTGGCTGGAGTTTTATGTATCCATGCTGATTTCTAGAGGATATGGCGATTAAACGGCCCCTTAAAGGAACAATCCACTGCCCAAAGAAAAATAAAATAAACTGTTTAGTAGATATACTCAAAATAAAAACATACATACATTTAATTCTTTATTTATTCATTGGGAGCTATATCTAAAAACAGCTTGTAAAACCTGCAGTTCTTTTGTCTGCAACCTTTGCAAGCCCTCCCCTTCTATCCCCGCCCAGACTTCCCGTGTCTGTCCAATCACAGACTTCCCAATGCAGCTCAATGAGAAGTCTTTGTAAGGCAGGTGTTCTGGACAATTGCTGCCTCTTGGGTTTATCTCCACTGAGCTAAACAAACCAGGAAGTAACAGAACCTGTTATCTGATTGACAGCCACTGTGGTGTAACAATTTATTTAAAAAAAGTTAATTTAAAAAAGTGACAATGTCTATTTAAATTTGCAATTTTTGTAAAATGACAAAAAGATGACACACTCTTCACACATGCAGCATTTCAGCAAGTTAAAGTGCTTTATGGATCCGGAGTGTACCTTTAATTATCTCCTATCATCATCTGAATGGCTTAACCTCCCCTGTCCCATTCACACAAAATAAACCGGTGGCATGTGCTCCCGGTATGATCTATCTTTGTACATAGAGCATCAGCAGCGATTCTTCTTTCTTTCACTGACAGTCTCAATTAACAGTTCCCATGGCTGCAAATTATAGAGCCCTAAATGTACTGGAATTCTCAACAGAGAAATACATTGGCAATATGTTTTGGAAAATTTTACATCACTAGCTGTGTTAGATAGATAGATAGATAGATAGATGGATAGTTAGATAAATCGATAGATGGATAGATAGATAAACAGATTGATAGATAGATAGATAGATAGATAGATAAAGGATAGATAGATAGATAGATAGATAAACAGATAGATAGATGCTAGATAGATAGATAGATAGATAGATAGATGATAGATAGATAGATAGATAGATAAACAGACAGATAGATAGACAGACAGACAGATAGATAGATAGACAAACAGACAGAGATAGACAGACAGACAGATAGAGATAGATAGATAATGGATAGATAGATAGATAGATAGATAGATAGATAGATAGATAGATAGATGGATATATGCTAGATAGATAGATAAACAGATAGATAGATAGACAGACAGATAGATAGATAGACAAACAGACAGACAGAGATAGACAGACAGACAGATAGAGATAGATAGATAATGGATAGATAGATAGATAGATAAACAGTTAGATAGATAGATAGATAGATGATAGATAGATAGATAGATAGATAGATGATAGATAGATAGATAAACAGACAGATAGATAGACAGACAGACAGATAGATAGACAAACAGACAGAGATAGACAGACAGACAGATAGAGATAGATAGATAATGGATAGATAGATAGATAGATAGATAGATAGATAGATGGATATATGCTAGATAGATAGATAAACAGATAGATAGATAGATAGATAGACAGATAGATAGATAGATAGACAAACAGACAGACAGAGATAGACAGACAGACAGATAGAGATAGATAGATAATGGATAGATAGATAGATAGATAAACAGATAGATAGATAGATAAACAGATAGATGCTAGATAGATAGATAAACAGACAGATATATAGACAGACAGATAGATAGCGTGGCAAACCTAGCCACTTGAACAATATAAAGAGACTGTGCCTTTAAGGGTTGCCTGTATGGTTGGGGGATATGTGTTTAACTAAGTATAATGTATGCTGGCTGTAATACCCTGTATTTCCTGTATGGGCTATCTGCCGAATGCAGATAGCTGTATTTCATTTCGTTGCTTTTCAGCGCTTGACTGTGGATTACTTCCTGAACCAGCGGAATTCGTGGATTTAATACTGGCGATCCGCTACAGATAGATAGATAGACAGACAGATAGATAGATAGATAGATAGACAGACAGACAGAGATAGACAGACAGACAGACAGACAGATAGAGATAGATAATGGATAGATAAAAAGTGGATAGATAGATAGATAGATAGACAGACAGACAGACAGACATAGATAGATAGACAGACAGACAGATAGAGATAGATAATGGATAGATAAAAAGTGGATAGATAGATAGATAGACAGACAGACAGACAGACATAGATAGATAGACAGACAGACAGATAGAGATAGATAATGGATAGATAAAAAGTGGATAGATAGATAGATAGATAGATAGATAGATAGATAGATAAACGATAGATAGACAGACAGATAGAGATAGATAATGGATAGATAAAAAGATAGATGGATAAAGGATAGATAGATAGATAGATAGACAGACAGGGGATTATTTGGAAGTTTTGAAGTTAAATGACAAACCCTGGCGAGCATTAAACTCATCTGACAGATTGTGACCTAAAGTGAGTTCAACCAGGTTCCAATATATCTTCTCAATATAAGCAAATTCTTGGGATGTTTTGTACTAAGTAAAGGAATGGCAATGACCTGTCACTTGTGTGTTTGCAACGCTCCTTGTCACTGTGTTTGTATAGACGAGTTTTGGATATTCTCACTGGATGAATAACATGTTCTGAGATGGTGTCATTCCCTCCGTTTAAAGGTGTACAGCGATATTAATGGACTGGTTTCCAGAGTGAGCGACCAGCATCGTCTCTTAATGTAATAAAGGGCGAATCGTTTAAACGTGCTCGATCCTCTGTAATTGGTCTTTCTCTGACACACAACAAAACGCAATCTGCAAAAGATATAATAAAAACAAAGACCTCTCCACCCACCCCGAAATAATCTGATTGCTGTGAGTTGTATTTGTTACATAAAAGCCGGCTCTTCCATCTATTGCCAGAGAGCCAGTGCTGGAAACATGAATGGCGTCTGCTGGGATACATTGTGTCGCATTGTAAAAGCCCCCACTGGGCAGCAGTTGTAAGACGGCGGGTGCACGGAACGCTGATAAAGGACAGGCATGTTCCAGGATGGCGTCACTGCGCACCGCACTCTGATTCTTTGTGTATGTGCTTCTAATCTTTCCGTTAAATCAGATTTCACATCGAGATGTCACAGCGATTGCCGGAATCTGAATTTAGAACCCTTCAACCATTCCCTGCTTAGTAAATACAGATGGATAAGGGATTATTCATTATAACACTGAATTCAAGGTACCCGAGAACTGAGGCAAAAAAATGCTGTTGTTTTTTGTATCTTATTCATAAGGTGTACCTATAATAGTGGTGCTGACTTATAGGGTTTGTGATCCCCTTTCATTGTAACAACAATAGGTTCACTCCAGTAGATGTCCAAAATCTTATTAGGTTCTCCCACTCTCACTCCTATTATCCTCAGCTCATATCCCATCTAGTCTGCTATACAGTCTCCCCCCCACTGCTTCTATACAGAGTCCTCAATAGGGGCTCTTTTTAATGTGTTTATATATTCTTTTTTTATCACACAATATTTAATAAATCAATCTAATTGTAGATATTGTCTAAAATTATATTAGTTTTATATTCCTCAAGGGATCCTTTTGTGTCTGTTGGAGTTTATATCCATTGGACATTTGTGTATTTCTCAGTTTATTTACCTTTAATAAATAAACCTTCTAGGTTTCCCTGCATACACCTGAAGTCCCTTTTTGGCATACTTTGTTTCTTCGAAGACTTGATAAAACGGCAAATGGACATTTTGTAACCAAAAGAAAATATTAAATAATGAGATCATATTTGCCCATTATTATGTTATTGATTAAAAGTTATTGATATTTAGAAAATAAAGTAATGAATGTGTAAACTGATAAAAGGTGCATAAACAAACATTTCTTCTTACTAATTGAGGATTTATAATTAATAATAACTGATAAATCAAGGCTTAGAATAAAATGTACCAGACCTCATCCATTTTATTAATAACAGTTAATATCCGTTTAGAAAATACTGAATTTCTTTCAAATCACTGACGTGTATTTGCATCGAGAGTCTGGTAAAATTTGATGTTCCTTCTATACAGATCCAGATTTGGATGAGAAGCATTATCATTTTTTTTACCCCAGATTTACTGGTACTTTGTTGGATGCCGTTGCTAGGGAGCTGAAGGCCTGTTGCTAGGGAACATGCTGGAATATTTGCAAGATCAGACCGTTACCAGCAGTATGCTCGCTTTCAATGAAAAGACAATTCATAATAGAAATATATAAATTAAAATATACAGAGGGGGATGGGCAGCCTGTAGGAAATATTTCAATAAGGAGCTGTATTGAGAGAAGGATTGTAGTATGTTACTGGTACTTCTGGAACACTGGGGGTTAAACGTGTCAGACATGTTAAGTGGAGATCTTATCATAGAAAATGAAATGTCATCGCTGAAGCCAGCAGACATAGGCTCCAGGAGAAGCAGAGCTTGGAGGTGTCTCAGTGGACATGACATCCAGTACTAACCCGATAATGATATCTGCAAGCCCTATATCTGTAAATCAATTGGTGCATTAACCAACACCTCTCGGGGAACTATCTTCATCAGACAGCTTATCCACAACCCATTGTAGGCCTCTAAGCAGACCGATGTGGGAGTTCCCGTTAAGGTTCTATGGCTAGCATTATACATCTAGCAGTGTCTGCAGCCCCAGTAAGTATGAAATGAGAGTAACTGAAAAGATGGATCCCTTGTTTAGAGGCTTGTGGAAGGCCAAGAGCTCAGAGGACGCTTTGAAAAGGAGACAAAGAGGAAGACAGGCTGCAGAACAAGACCAGAGTGCAGACAATGATAACAGAAGGAGATCAAGGCATGGTGAGGATAATGGAAGGAGAAGAAGGTACGATGAGGATTGTGGCGAAACCGGCCTCGCCACGTGTCCTTGGAGGGGGGTGCTTGCCCGCCTCTTACCTTTGGACTATGGTCCTTCCTCCCCAGCGGCAGTGTGTGTCCCAGGGAGCGGAAGGTGTTGTCCTTCCTCCCCAGCGGCAGTATGTATCCCAGGGAGTTGAAGGTGTCGTCCTTCCTACCCAGCGGCAGTGTGTACCCCAGGGAGCAGAAGGTGCTGTCCTTCCTCCCCAGCGGCAGTGTGTACCCCAGGAAGCAGAGACCGTCTGTCTCGCACCCCAGCCGCAGAACAAAATATTGAAAGGGGAGACAGTTGGTCCCCCTCTCCACCAGCAAAGAGAGTGTCAGGGAGAGGAGCAGGTTACCCCCTCTCCCCAGCGGCAGTCTACAGTTCAGAGAGAGGAGCTTGTTACACCCTCTCTCCAGCGGTAGCCTAACCCACCAAGGGGAGATGTTAAGCCCCACAACTGTGCAGATGGGACCGTAGTCTCTGCACTTGCAGCACCAGGGGTAGGGACGGTCGGTCCTGTTCCCCAGCCACAGAGCAGTGTATCCAGAGGGGAGAGAGTCGGTCTCCCCCATCCACAACCAGGCTTCAACCAGGCTACTTCAGTGGTAGCGCTGGCACCCGGGCAGAGTACCGCTGGTCTCTGCCCACTCAGCAACCCACCAAGGCAGTCTACCAGCCCCCGCACAGCCGTGGTGAGGCACCTGGACATGGACAAGTTGCTATTTTATCCAGGTGTAGTAACCAGTTATTGTGGGTGGGCTGTATTGCTGTTTGTGCTTCGTGGGTGGGTTGCTGGACTAACCAGGGCACTGACCGGCAGGAGGTCAGATACCCTGTTAGTCTGGATGGTAAAGGGGAGAAATGTTGTGAAACCGGCCTCGGATAGGTGAGGATAATGGAAGGAGAAGAAGGCATGGTGAGGATAATGGAAGGAGAAGGCACGACGTGAGGATAATGGAAAGAGATTAAAGGCACGGTGAGGATAATGGAAGGAGAAGAAAGTACGGTGAGGATAATGGAAGGAGAAGTAGGCACGGTGAGGATATCGGAAGAAGATTGAAGGCACGGTGAGGATAACGGAAGAAGAAGAAAGCACGTGAGGGTAATGTAAGAAGAAGAAGGCAAAGTGAGGATAATGGAAGGAGAAGGCACGGTGAGGATAATGGAAGGAGAAGGCACAGTGAGGATAATGGAAGGAGAAGGCACGGTGAGGACAATTGAAAAAAAGGAAGGCACGATTAGGATAATGGAAGGAGAACAAGGCACCTTGAGGATAATGGAAGGAGAACCAGGCACAATGAGGATAATGAAAGGAGAAGGTACGACGGTGAGTATAATGGAAGGAGAAGGCACGGTGAGGATAACGGACAGAAAAGAAGGCACGGTGAGGATAATTGTAGCGGAGAGGTAGTATAATCCACTGTATCTCCGCTGGGTAACAGGAAAAGCATAAAACAATCCAGGCAAAATAAGTACAGCATACAATAATCCCGGTAGCGTTGTATAAATCCTTCCCTCCCAAGGACTAGACGACACATAGGCTAGGAGTCAACTGAGCTTTTAATCACAGGTCACAGTATTTATGGGATTCCCCATGCAAGGGGACTACATGGGGAACTTAACAACCCGGACATTTCTCCCATCATGCACTGCTGCACGAGAGGGATACTCGCCAGGCTCCAGCAGCGACTACAGGATGTGATGCGCAGTATGGAGTATCCTATCCCAGAGGAAAGAGAGACAGAGTGGAGGGTGGCGCTTCGTACCGATCTCTGGAAGGAGGACATCGACGGATTTCGACCCTTTCGGTGTGAGGAAATCCTGACCACTAACCAGCGCAAAGAAGAACAACTAGAGCTGCGGATGCCGTTATTGGGAAACCAGCCCTCAGATGAATGGGTAAGCGAACTGGAGACGCTAGTTGAGACTGAGGTGTGGCTGAATGATTCCTATCGGGCTCTGTGGTGGCATGCTTACCACCTCTACCCATGGATGATTGAGTACAAGTGTATTGAGGGGGAAGACTACAATGGCCCTGGTTTGTTGTGGGATACTATTGAAACTAGTCTCTGGTTCGGAGACACCGACATTGCTTGCTTCTGGTCCATCCGAGCTGAGCGGGCAGACAACTGGGACCTTACGGAGACCGATGCCATTCAGCCAGATCTATCTTTTCTTGCCAACCGGGAGTGGGAACTAGAACAGCATTATGTTTGCCTATTCCAACGTATAACGCCGCCTATCTCTGACATGATGGGGCTTATTGACTGTATACCACCGGAAGCATGGTGTACTTTTAAATGTTAAGACACAGAGGAGAGACTTGGAGACAGACGCTGCTCCATCTTAAAATGACAGAGAGGCTGACATGATGACATGTTCAGAAGGGTATGTTAACCTATTAATGATATTTGCAAGCATGTAATTTAATCTTATAAACTCTGCTATAATGGATTTTATATTTTTATATAATAAATATCCAAAAGACAAAACGATTGCTTCCAAGACAATCCTTATTTTATATTGTATTCTCAATTATTTATATATGTTAAATAGAGGATCTCTTACACTATATAAAATTATGGCTAAGATATCTGTATGGTTAGCCCTACTAAGTTCTATGCTTTAAGACATTATAGTGGTAAATAAAGGAACCACACACGGTTACAATTGGCGACCACGAATGGACTTTGTACTTGGAAGCTTTAAATATAAAATAAATACCTAGGTAACCTCTTATACGTAAGAGAAGACACAATACTTTGTCATGGCACAAGTCTTGAAATATCAAGAATCTATTGAGCTATGTGTAGCCCAGACTCAGAGAGAGATCATTAGAGATGATTTTAATGTTTAGAAGGCACTGTGAGTTCAGGTGACAGGTACAACTGTAATTAGCATACAATGCTGAAATTGTGGATCTTAACTAATATCATAATAGAACAAATATACATATTTGGTAAACTCCCTGATATGCCTAATACACCAGCACAGCATGGCCCGTTAGTTCCAGGACAGTGGATTGCAGACAGGGGGATATGTTCTCTTTGTAGCTGCTTAGTATGCATGCGCAGGAAAAAGATTAATGCAAAATGTTGTCAAAAGAAAAGTGATAAGACAGAGCGATGAAATTTGAAGTCTAATTCCAAGAATGCAAAGAAAATTGCATTATGGCTTAATGAAAACATTCATGCAACAGACAGACAGGATTTTTAATTATTGCATTACTGCGTTCTGGATTCTAATGTCCACTATATAAGAAAAGTTTTATAAAACAGTGATATTTTCCATATTGTCAGTTAGGCTAGCTGTTGATTGAAAATCAGGAATTATAACAGCATAACTATTTTTGGAGTCTGGAATTTCCAGCCAAGGTTGCGCAGATACAGAGACATGTAAACATTCCAAGGAATTGAGAAGTTGTTGTTTTATATTCCAAATTATTAACAACATTATTACATACAGCCATAGAGAGAAAGACATGGCTTTTAAATAAATTCAGTGCAGTACACTGCAGCATATATTTTATATAACATATGCTAACTAGCTCATATTTTTTCCTAAACAGAGTTGAAATTATACTACCCTCCTAGAAAAAAGGGCAACAGGTGGTTATACATCATTTGCTTCTCTAAATCCTCTGCAAAAAATAAATATTTATAAAATGATTAGAAATATATATGTAAGATAAATCAGGGCTAAATAAAATTGTAACTATACAGGATCTCTAATAACTTTTAAACTGAAATTATTAAAGGCTTATTTAAATAAAATGTTAAATACATTTACAGCTTTAAATGTGACCAAAAGATACTAAATGATGTGTTAATCAGCCAGCCCAATTCACTAAAATAGCATAAGTATTCTACTATTTAAAGTGCACAATTCCTGCACATAATGACTTTGCTTACTCAGGTACAGTCTTTAGTCTATTGCAATGGCAGTAAAGTCCACCAATTTTAAAAGGGAAATCTTACTTAAATCAGTGGTACTATCCCACCGTACTAGCAGTAAGGAAATTAGAACAATTATATTGTACTACTGACTGTAATTGGTCAGACACATGTAATCTCAGTGAATTTCATAAACTAGGTTTTCATAAGATAAGATTAAATATCAAAGTTGTTTATATATCAATATATCAATGTTGTTTATAAATAAATGTATATAGACTAGGCAATAACAGCATTTACATGCATTCAGCAGCCTGCTCTCTCAAAGCCAGAAACGGATTTATAAAAAAACTAAAAAGTAGGTATTAAAAAGTTCACAGTCAACCACACATGATGAGTGAAATGATTGCTTCCTTAAAAGCTATATCCTGCCGCAATTATGTATATAAATACTGATCAGGGCACAGCGTAGAAATAAAAATACAGTTTCAAATCTCATATATGGGGATTCAGTTCCACCACATATTCTACAATTCTGAAAGAGGCTAATTTTAATAATATGTTGTAAGAGCACTGTGAATATATATAATGAAAAATTAATTTGATATTGCAAAGCCTGCAATATTCTAAACAGACATTAAACTTAAAAAAAAAAAAAAGAAAAATAATAATGCATAAAGAATAATGTATAAAAAAAATGTAGTGTCAATTAAAGTGATAATACTCTGATATATTAAATCACATTGCATATCACATAACTGCTATATGAAAAGTATAACTAAAGTGACATTACTGTCCAAAGCCCCCTCACATCTATTTTATAAAATCTATACTTTTTTGTGGTCACCTCCAAAGAAGCCTCTGAAGCTGGGGGGCTCAGAGGGGTGCTCATCCCAAAAGGAATCAGATTCCAGACTTAAAGAAAAATAAATGATAGAAAAGGAATCACAGGAACACCCAGAACATGCATTTTTGTATATAATCTTAATTTGCAGATATTTTATGCCTTAAAGACATATAAAGGATATTTAATTAAATATGCAGGTATCTTTAAAAATTTAGCAATGTTAAAAAAATAAAAAAATAAAATAAATTAATAATAATAAAAATATATAAACAGTCACAATACAAACAGCTTTGTTAAACAGATTTAAGTACAAGTACTTATGACAAGAAATATACAGAATCCGTTTACAACAGGCAGGTTTAGCATAAATGCAAAGTTGTTGTTTTTTGGGGGATTTATTATTGCCCAAGAAATCTCTGAACATATTCAGAATTTTTGAGAGCAGCAAGTAAGACAGCAGATTGCAATGGACACCATTACAATATTGCTTTGCCGATTGAGGTCAGAGATTTAAAGAATAAATAAATAAACATTCTATAGCTCGTTAGACCGCTGGCTTTTAATGAACAGTTGGCACAACACTTATGAATAGTTATGAATAGCTCTGACAACATAATACACAGGGTAAGATTGCTATGTCACTGTTTAATAGACTTACCCAGTATTTAAGGACGACATGTTTCTTGCAAAGTCATCGGGACTTTGAGGGAGGTTCTAGCTATGTTTAATTAATTAATTAATTAATTAACTTACTAAAGAAAAAAAAAGTTTTTTGTTTTGTTTTTCCCCTGCAAGTGAGTTTTCAGCGCAAGGTCATCTTGTGTTCACAGACTATTCGGTTTTAAAAAGCTGTTCTTTATCTCACATTATGAACGGCCTTGTAATTCCTATCCACACTAAAAGTTGGCTTTTAAATGTTATTGTTTTAACTTTAATATTTCATAGTTAATACAGAGGATAAAGTAATTTAAAGAAAGTATATTGAAAGTATATTAATTGATAAGATTTAATTTATCTATTTTGGTCCACTGTTCACTGATCTCGAATCTCAGTCTGGTGTTCAAACAGTTTTTCTTACGATACGTTGTGAGTTTATATCCACAACTGCATTTTGCTTTGTGGAAACAAATTGAAAGCCTGGCATTGTAATACGTGTATGGACATGCTTATAACAAAGCATGGGCCCTCTCCTCATGTAGTTGGTCATTAACAGGCACTTTGATGCAATGTGTCTACCAACGCTTTTCTGTGGTCACTGGATCACATCGCATACCCTATCTCTCAGTCATGATGCAGAGTTTATGCTTGCAAGGATATCCAGACCTTATCCACCTGGTATCCGAAAAAATACTCCTATCGTTTAGAGGGGTTAATTACATAATAACCATTGAAGGTAATATGTTGGTTGTTCTTCCTATAGAGGAAAGATAGACTTGCCCTAAAAGCTTTTTCATGGCTAGGACAAGCTCTTATAGAGAGGTAATGTACTTCTGACTCCTGAAAAGGAATATTGGTGATCCAGTATGGGAAATACTGTAATTCATGTGTTTAGTAATCATAAGCATTTGCTTATTGCCACATTACTGATGTACTGTTTATTGAAATATTAATATCTAACATACTTTTTGAATTACTATATATTGGAAGTGTGCCAACAGCTCATGGTTATAAATATGTTTTTGTATGTGTTGATGCATGTACCAGGTTTACTTGGATATATCCTGTGCGAAGTGCAACCTCTGATGCCACGTTTTCTAGTCTCACTTCCTTAGTATGCATTTGATAATCCCAGGACCATCCATTTGGATGGTGGTCCTGCAGTTACTGCAAAGGAAACCTAAAACTGGGCAACCACATTTGGGTTACTTTGGGATTTCAGTGCCCCAACCACCCCCAAAGAAGTGGGGTTGTGGTCTGGGAAAATGCTGAGGTTAAATGATTATTAACCAAGTTACTAGTTGCTTGCCCCACACAGTGGTATCTATTTATTCCTATGGTACAGATAAGAATTCACAACATACCTGATGATACAAATGGTGAGACACCATATGAAATGTTACATGTTTTTCACTGACAAACATATTTCTGCACCAGGGAGAGCTTAGAACCATTGGTTCTATTAGAGAAATTTAGGGAATTTTTTTTTCCAGCCCACCTCGCCTTGCACCACCAACTTTTTCTTACTGTTGGCCAGTTTGTCCTGGAGAGGGTGACTCAGATAACTTTTACTACAGAGAACAATCAGAGCCAACAGAGAACAGTAAGTTTTGATATTTTACAACCTGCTAAATACTAACAGGACGTTCACAGAACCACTGACTGATACAATGGATGCTGTTAAAGATGACAAGATAAACAGAGGACGACAGAAATGCCACCAGAATCATAGCCACATAACAGACTGAATTGTGATCTGACATCTGAACCTGCAAATGTGAAGGAGAAGGATGAACAGACAGACGTGATACATTCACAGTTAACATGGAATGTATGAAAAATGAATCATCAACATCATTATAAGAAAGACTCTGGAGAAAACAGACTGTACCTGAATTATCTTATACAGTAAGAAAGAAATGCAAAGATGGAAGCAAAAGGATGCTAGAAAATTGGTTATGGTGTCTCCTTCTTACCATCTGCAGCATTATCATAACATCAACCCAAGCTGTCGTTTTAAAACTGCATTGGAATTATGTTAACAAGCAGGAAGCACCTGAACTGAATTGGACTGCACACTATACAAGTTCTGTGATCGTGAGGACTACCTCCAAGAACTATTTCAAAAGGAGAGACACAGCTCACAGTGAAATGATTGCTAATGTGACCTACACTGGTATTTCACAAGGAACCTATTGAGATTATTCCAAAAAACGATTATACATGAGAAAGATGTGATTGGACTATTGCAAATCCTAATAATGGAATCAACAATGATGACAAAGCATGCTGAAAACAGAAAAAGACGGGAAAGATGCTAGTGAAAGACTTTGGATGCACCTATGAAGGTGATGCAAGAAAAGACTTTGCCATATAGTTTATCATTGAATGACTACCGCAAACAGCCTTCTTATGCTGAAAAGAAGTGCTATGCTAATTCTGGACATTGCTATTATCCAGACAGAAGATGACTGGAAAAAGAAATAAAGGCTGATAACTGTCAACACCCAGCTGTTTCTCAAGATGGAACATGGTACTGACAAAACCAGATTGACTATCAAAGCACCTCACAGTACAAGACAGATTGTTACCTACAACTCAGAAAAAGTGGTTAATAGGAAGGAGCAGAAGAAGAGGAAAATAGATTTCCTACTGGAGTGAAAAAACCATCCTGGAACAATATTCTGCAACATTGAACTTTACAATGACATTTGGTGGCATATGAATTTGAATTCGGAAGAAACACATCAATTAACGAAAGAAACCTTGATGCAATTAATAAATAATAACAATACCGGCCTACTAAGAGCAGATGCCCTGCCAAGAGAATGGAATATAAAAGGCCAGCAAAACCTGTCAGAAACCTGACATCACGGGACACTTGTACTAAAGCACGATTTGCAGCTTTTCTAAAACTCTACATATTATGTACATACCTGCAAAGCAAGGAACTCCTGTAAACACACACAGAGACATTGATACAACAAAGAATCTGTAATGGTTCTGTTGCAGATGCGATCTACCAATGTACTCCTTGCTCTTTGGTATAACTATACCAATCAAAACGTTAAATGGCTCCATAGAATCAAACGACAAAGGATTCTTGCTATATTCTGGACTTCCAGGAATGTGGTGCATGGACCGAAAATTATAATTACTAAAGCAATCATGCTATTTTTTTCCCTGTATCAGAAATGTGTCAGTGACAATGTGTAATATAATAGAGATACTATAATTAATGGTATAAGAAACACATAATGTGTTAATTACAAAGGTGGATAGACTTTGTGAATATCTGAAACGCAATTGAAGATTATTGCAAAAATGCCATATGCAGCTGCAGTCTGGCCTACAAACAAATATATTAAACAAAACATACTTATAAGAGCATAATAGCTAATTACCCAGATAAATAATTGAATCATGATAGTTAAAGATCATATGATTGCAATAACAACTGCAATAATGAATAATGTTTAAACTTTAGAAGAAAATATAAAATGTTTTTATTAAAACAGAAACTACTCGATATTCGTTTAAGTTTGCAGAGTGGTATAATTAATATAAGTGAAATACTTCAACAGTTAAAATTTAACTGAAAGACAGGCAGAAACTTTACTTCAACTATCATAAAGTTTATTTATAATGATAAAAATATTCAGTCTGCCAGAGCCAAGGCCAGTCAATGGAAAGTAAAAGAGTATTATGGATTAACCCATCCAGGTGATATACATGATGATTTTGGAAATTGATCATTTAGGTCACCTATTGCAAACTGGTGAAAAGATGTCAAAGATATAAATTCAACATCCATATATATATTAAAATACACGTAATCAAATATTTTATCAGTTTTTCAAATACCAAGAAAACTTTATTTGGTTTGTGATGGTTAAAGGTACATAAAACCACTTATACAAAGGTAGAGTTAAAATATAAATACCTTCAATATTGTATCTGAGTGCTTTCTTAACTCATTTTTAGAAATAATAAAAATCCAAATCATCTTAAGCTACACCCAACAGCCACTGAAAAATATACTTAAACAATTAAGATTCACATTGTTAAGCATCCAATCTCACAAACGTAACTTTCCACAATGGCTGTCAGATCTTGGTAAAAAAAAAAAAAAAAAAAATAATGTTTTCTAAGGCAATTTTTGGGTGTTTCTGGTATTTTAAGCCACTAATAACTGTAGTTATTATATTTACTAATTGTAACTTAGGGAATAAGTTGTCTTCTCCCTAACAGGTCAAAGAAAGATAATTAACGTCATATTTCCAATTAGCAGCTATACTAAATATATTGAGAGATTTTGAATAAAGGAGTATTTTTAACATTTAAAGAGAATGTAATTTTACATACCATTGTGAACAAAAGCGGTAAATACGTTGCTGCTTCAAATTATCCTTATATATCTAAATCATATACAGGGGTGTTTATCTTTAAAACAAAACACTGGAAAGATTAACTATGTTACTATTTCATCTATCATTATTATACAAACTATAACAAATGTAAAGATTTTTCCACAGATTTTACCTGTTAACATTTTTAGCACAACAGCACCTGATGTCAGTGAGATGTCTATCACTGAGATGTTACAAAGATTCCAATACAGCAAAAAGAGGCGTTCCTGAGAATCCACTTCAATTGCTGTATCAACATAACATTTACTATAACGGGATCCATGTCACTTAAGACAGTGTCTTGGAAATGCTGTCAATCAATTTATTCCGTAAAAGAATATCGGAGAGAGTATCCAATCTATACACATCATAAACGGTGTAAAAATGTTTCATGGAAAAAACAAAATAAAAAAAGACAAAGACAAAGACAAATACCAACACCATCACCACGGTGATAACAGATGATGCTGATTCAATATCTGCAACCAATTCTAGCCAAATATTTGGAAAGCTGGACTCTACAACCTATACTCTACAACAAATACCTGGGTATTCTACAAACACAACCTCCAGCAATATCTAAGGAATGTAAACTTCTACAGGCCTTTAAAGACTTTGGATTACAAATACAATTACTATTTTTAACTTTGGATTTACAATTCGTATCCGGATCCATCCAAGAATATATTACTCTGGAACTTGGTGTTCTTTTCAATTCTTTCCCAGACAAAAGCTTTGCTCATTTTAATCAACCACCTTTACAGGCAAAGATCACACTACGGATATTTTACTGTTACAACAATGATCTAAGATGCTGGGAGCATAAAAAACCTAAAGACTGTTGGAGAACTTTGGTTTACTAATTTAAGGAAGAAATGCGCTACAATGCCCACAGTTTAATGGAGAGGGTGTTATGGGAAAATACAAATATTACAAGTTTTAGAATGAAATGTTGTATTTCTTAAACTGTGTACTTTGTCTTTAAGAGATATTGCAAATTGACAAGGTGTTAGAAATGGAACATATTGTTTTTCATAACTGTTTCTTTAAGCAATAACCTCAGTGCATAATATGTTTGCGCCATTTTGTCCCAGACGAATTACAATAACAATAATGCATAAACAAGCTTCAAGGCTATACTACGACTCTTGCAGTACACAATATACTGTGGTAACCCCAAGTTAATGGAACTTCCCCAAATCCAGGAATCTCCCACGACTGTACACTTACAACTTAGTATAAACAACAGATAACCTATTCAGACTTTAAGATGCCATCTTGAACTAAGTCAGGAAAATTTCCATGACGTATACACCCTTTAGTTATGGCCTTGTATGTTTGCCAAATTAAGGGAGGTCCTAAATTGAATAAAGTAAAAGACGTGTTACTTTTTCATATTTGAACTACAGTAACCTAAAATGGAGACACCTAAGGTATAAATAGGTGTACTTTTAAATGTTAAGACACAGAGGAGAGACTTGGAGACAGACGCTGCTCCATCTTAAAATGACAGAGAGGCTGACATGATGACATGTTCAGAAGGGTATGTTAACCTATTAATGATATTTGCAAGCATGTAATTTAATCTTATAAACTCTGCTATAATGGATTTTATATTTTTATATAATAAATATCCAAAAAGACAAAACGATTGCTTCCAAGACAATCCTTATTTTATATTGTATTCTCAATTATTTATATATGTTAAATAGAGGATCTCTTACACTATATAAAATTATGGCTAAGATATCTGTATGGTTAGCCCTACTAAGTTCTATGCTTTAAGACATTATAGTGGTAAATAAGGGAACCACCAGCGGTTACACTTCCTCCCCAGCGGCAGCATGTGTCCTTATGAGAGGAGACAGTTGGTCCCTCTCCCCAGGAGTCCAGTGAATTACAGAGAGACAAAGGTGCCGTCCTTCCTCCCCAGCGGCAGTGCGAGTTCTTGGGAGAGGAGACAGTCAGTCCCTCTCGCCAGCAGTCAAGCGAGTCCCAGGGAGCCGAAGGTGCCGTCCTTCCTCCCCAGCAGCAGTGTGTCCGGCAGGGAGCAGAGAAAGTCGGTCTCGCTCCCCAGCAGCGGGGCAATATATTAAAAGGGGAGACAGTTGGTTCCCCTCTCCAACAGCAGAGAGAGTGTCAGGGAGAGGAACTTGTTATCTCCTCTCCCCAGCGGTTAAAAGTATGTATGGGAGAGGAGCTTGTTACCTCCTCTCCCCAGCGGCTGAAAGTATGTATGGGAGAGGAGCTTGTTACCCCCCTCTCCCCAGCAGCAGCTTAGCCCACCAAGGGGAGACAGTAATCTCCACAAAAGTGCAGATGGGACCGTGGTCTCTGCACATGCACCACCGGGGGTAGGGACAGTCGGTCCTGTCCCCCAGCAGCAGGGCTGTTTAGCCAAAGGGGAGACAGTCAGTATCCCCCTCCAGCAGCAGCCCCAGATCTCAAGAGAGGAGCCTACCAACTCTTCTTTTCAGCATGGCTCCAATCAGGCTACTCCCGTGGTAGCACTGGCACCAGGGCAGAGTACTGCAAGTCTCTGCCCACTCAGCAACCCACCAAGGCAGCCTGCCAGTACCCCACAAAGCTGAAGTGAAGGAACCTGGACATGGACGAACTAATCTTTTACCCAGGTGTAGTAACCATGTATTGTGGGTGGGCTGTATTACTGTTTGTGCTTCGTGGGTGGGTTGCTGGACTAACCAGGGCACTGACCGACAGGAGGTCAGATACCCTGTTAGTCTGTTTGGAAAAGGGGAGAAATGTGGCGGAACCAGCCTCGCCACTGGGCATTGGAGAAGACTGATTGCCAGCCTCCTGCCATGTGACTATGGCCCCTGGGATGTATTGCCTGCTCTCCTGTACTGCTGAGGATTGCTACCAATTAGGTGGATTTGGCTATGGAGCTTGTGTAGTGCCCTCTGTTGGTAGCAACAGTAATATGCACTACCTGAATAGCAAGACTGATAATTTGCGTATTCGGGTAGATTTGCATATCGCTAATTCTGCATGCAGGAGAGACATTTTGTGTTAATTATGGTCTTCCCCACCCATTTATAAATATGTAATTATGTTATAAGAAGTCACTGTATGTTGCCTGCTATGATTTGATTGTTTGTAATTTTATTGAGTTTTCACAGCAATGTTAATGTAATGACCATATGGGCTAGTCCCAAGTAAAATAAAGTTTTAGACAGTTCTACTTCACCCTCAATTTGGAGTCCTGTCTCTTATTGGGGGGAATCTGCTACAAGGGATTGCTATGCTCTGCATATTCCCTTGCTATAATCACTCCTAAGCTCTTTTAAAAGTGTGTTCCTGCTTCGCTCTGAAGGAAGAGAGGTTCTGCCTGCAGTGGTTGTGGTGTTGATTAGAGTGCTTGGAGCCCTCAAGAAGCGCTAGGAGCATCCATCAACGGAGGTATCCAGTCGGGGTGCCAGGTGATCCATTACATACCACTGCTATTGAATCACAGTGGAAAATCCACAAATGTCTCTCCCTACTTGATTAAAAGGACATGATAGTGCCATTTACAACTATAAATTAAAATCATTTTTAGGTCAGAAACCAGAAGTTCAAACTAGCTGAATGTCACGTTCAGCCCTTATCAAGTTATAATATAGGAAAATGAAAGAGGAGGTATATTTATAGGTGGCTGGAATTAAAAAAACAAAAAGAATGTACTGGGCATATTGTAGTCAGGTAACCAGGGATCAAAATAAACGATATAACAGGAAAAAAGGCCAATAGTGTAGGACGACAGTGTAGGACCACCAAAGGCACCATGTAAAAAGGTTGCTCCGTATTTAATAACTTATTATTATTTGCAGATCTCGTTTTTAGAAAGTATTTGCAAATTCACTCACTGCAGCACTGAAGCCAATACATGTCAAGTAAATGGCCTTCCAATAGAGACAGATTAATGGGCATATCAATCAATTAGCAATAATTTGCCAGCCAAGTCAGAGCTGTGATTGTTAACTTTGAAATATCTGCTGTGATGAAGTGCCCTTCGCCACTTGTGCATGGAGAGAACTAATTGCCAGCCTCCTGCCCTACGACTATGGCCCCTGGGAGATTTTGCCCTTTAAATACGTTATTTGGGCATAGTGGATTTTATTAGACTGGTTCTGGCTCTTTAAATGCTCTGACAAAGGATCTGCAGTTTTGCTATGCACTTTGGATGCAGAGTGTGAAGAAAACCCCTGTTTTATGGACTTAGTTTGACTGTTTTATTCCCCTCCCTCCTAGAACACCAGTTTAAAAACCCTTAATACCTGTCATATATACAAACTCTGTCTGACCCTTTAATTGTCATTTTGTTTTCCTCTGAGGAGGAGTTGTTTTGCTGCGTGAGTGCTGTTGCTTTGGTGCTCATTAAAACAGACCTGCTTGACCCTTTCTTGAAGCCTTGGCTCATGCTTGGGGGATGGGATAAGTCTGCAGTGCTGATGGTGTCGGTTGGAGTGCTTGGAGTCCTCGGCCAGCACTAGGAGCATCGATTGGCGGAGGTACTCAGTCGGAGTGCCAGGGGGTCCGTCACATCTGCTATGTCACCTATCATCAACGTGACTGTGACGGAACGCTGGCACTCCGACTGAGTACCTCCGCCAATCGATGCTCCTAGTGCTCGCTGAGGACTCCAAGCACTCCAACCGACACCATCAGCACTGCAGACCCCACTTCCAGCGATGTAACTGCGCCGGGGTCTCTGCTGTTTCCACCCACCCTGGACCCAAGGCCAGGATCCAGCTTCCAGTGGGTGAACCTCTCTTTCCCCAGAGAGCAGGAACAGGAACAAATCAAGCTATTGCAAGAGCTTCCTCTGGGGAGTAAGTGATTATAGCAATCCCCAGAGTGTAGGTATCCCTTCCCCCAAACATGAGCCAAGGCTTAATGCTGGAACAAGACTGATTTACTGGCACACAGAACTCACAATTTATGCAACACAAAACTCCTCCTCTGGGCCAGGCTAGATAATTGAGTTTCTACAATACACAAAGCTCAATTATCTGCTGGCCAGAAATAATACAGTTTCATAAAACACACAGGGACCCCAAAACATGCAATAACCCCATAAAAAGTATATCCTTGGAACCGGGGGATCTGGGTGAACCACATATCCAAAATTCACCCAGATCCGTTCAGTACTTTGGAAAATACAGTTTAATGCAGATTCTGCAGAACATATACAGGCTAAATGAAAAACAATCACTGTATAATGTGTCCCCTGCTGTATAGTCCAAAACCACTGCACAATGTCTCTGTGCACCAAATACTGGCGAGATGGCACCGTGTTGAAAAGTCCAAACAGTGTCTGTGAGTTAAAATGGCCGCCATCCATTGTTCTCACCATGTGCTTCTGATACAGGAAATGGTGGCCACCCAGTAACTCCACAGTATGTCCCAGATGGTTCTTAAAGGGCCAGCAGCAGCACAACACAAATCCATTATGCCCAAATCATGTCTTTAAAGGGCAATACATCCCAGGGGCCATAGTCACAGGGCAAGAGGCGGGCAAGCAGTCCTCTCCAGGCACAAGTGGCGAAGGGCACTTCGTCAAAGTGACCATCTATTAGGAGGTAATGCTGAAAGGATTTGAGGAAGGGGAGTGAGCTAAAATCTAGAGGTAAGGGGACGTAAATAAAACAAAGAAAGTAGAGTGAAGGGGTAGTAGATACATGGAATTGCCTTCCCGTGAGATCTTGCATAGGAGGCGTAAAAAGATATCACACATAGTCGATCAGCAGATAGACTAACACTAAATTTAAAGGGTTAATCTAATCACCAAAAGCACTCTAGTTCAAAGAAGCACAACACGCACCATGACCACTACATCCCGCAAAAAAAACCTTTTTACAATTGTTAACTTGGAGTGTCACTGCTGGGCTTAGCTCAATACAAGAACTTCCAGCTGCTGAGGAGGAGGTGACTATTGTCCTGTGGACCCCAGTTAAGTTGTCAAACCATTCTTAAACGATTTGACTAAATACTTTCAGGATAAACTAAGACACAAAAGGCAGTGCCAGTGGTAAAATCAACACTGGTGAAATATACATATTACCGGGTCTCAGAGTGGCCTGACTTAACGTCTGACACAAGCCATGGTCAGGCATACAGAATGAGGCAAATAACCAAAAGGTCAAGGATTATAGAAAGAATAGTCAAAAACAAGTCACAGTCAGAAAAGAGAAATATAAGATAAATACACTCTTTGGTAACCAATAAATGGGCAGAAAACAAAAGCCAAAATGAGGGGCCTAAATAGCCCTAGGAACTCAGATATTGGTCAGTCCCTGTGATGTCAGAACGTGCGTGCATGTTTGCGTCTTTAACTGTATGCTAGGGGGTGGAGCTATAACGAGGCTCCGGCGAGAAGCAACCGGTGTCTACCCAAATGCCACAAGGAGATGAAGCCACATGGTAGGCAGTCCGGATTGGACACGCTGATCAGGCGCAAATACGTGATCGCACCAATCCGGTTCCGTAACACATACTCTGTCAGGGTCCCAGGATACTTCTGAAACCATGACTAAGGTTTAATTTCTCAACCTATCTTAGCACAGTGTGTTTACTTTAGAAGTTCTAATACTCTGTTAATTGACTGTTTGTGCAGAGTAGCTTCTTTCACATGAAGAGATGGGAATTATTCCAACCCTGCAGACTCCTGCACAATTTAGGACCTAACCCTGCACAATGTGACTATTTTATTTTATTTGTCGAGTATTTAATTATGTTACAATGTTAGATTTTTTTTTAACTAACATTGTTTTTATCTATGTTTTACTAAATGTCTTCCAAAGGTACTCACTACCTCTACAATCCTACTCTATTAGCATGAAGAAAGAGGTTAATGCTGGGCAAAAAAGGTCCGGATCATCGGAGCTGATGGACCTGCAGAACAGGTGGGAATGTATGGACTTTCTAATTTAGAAAATGTATTACATATATATTTATTTTAATTTAACTACTGTGTTCTAGTACATTTCAACATAATTCAGTAATATACAGTAACACAGAGTATCACACGGTGTAATTCAGTAATATACAGTAATTATTATAGAGAGGTACAGGGTTTTTATAGAGGGGTACAGGGTTTTTATAGAGGGGTACAGAGTTATTATAGAGGGGTACAGATTTATTATAGAGGGGTACAGGGTTATTATAGAGGGGTACAGGATTTTTATAGAGGGGTACAGGGTTTTCAAACAGGGGTACAGGGTTATTATAGAGGGGTACAGGGTTTCTATAGTGGGGTACAGTGTGTCACACAGTGTAGTTTATTATTATAGAGGGGTACCAGGTTTTTATGGAGGGGTACGGGTTATTATAGAGGAGTACAGGGTTATCATAGAGGGGTACAGTGTTATTATAGAGGGGTACAGTGTATTATAGAGGAGTATAAGGTTACTATAGAGTGGTACCGGGTTATTATAGAGGGGTACAGGGTCTCACACAGTGTAGTTTGTTATATTAGAGGGCTACAGGGTTATTATAGAGAGGTACAGGGTTATTATAGAGGGGTATGTGGTTATTATAGATGGGTACAAGGTGTCACACTGTGTAGTTTATTATTATAGAGGGGTACAGGGTGTCACACGGTGTAGTTTATTATTATTGAGGGGTACAGGGTCTCACACAGTGTAGTTTATTATTATAGAGGGGTACAGGGTCTCACACAGTGTAGTTTATTATTATAGAGGGGTACAGGGTGTCACACTGTGTAGTTTATTATTATTGAGGGGTACAGGGTCTCACACAGTGTAGTTTATTATTATAAAGGGGTACAGGGTGTCACACGGTGTAGTTTATTATTTTAGAGGGGTACAGGGTCTCACACAGTGTAGTTTATTATTATAGAGGGGTGCAGGGTCTCACACAGTGTAGTTTATTATTATAGAGGGGTACAGGGTCTCACACAGTGTAGTTTATTATTATAGAGGGGTACAGGGTCTCACACAGAGTAGTT